AGCCTCATTTAAATTTATCGCCCAAGAAAAATATAATCAACGCATTCAGGAGAGCCGTATCTAATGCAATTGAGCTCAAAAGGTGCGAACAGAGTCTGTCACTAGTAATGCCTTAAGGAAGCCTCAACAACACCTTGTTCCCGCCTGAATTAGACATCTAACGGCATCTCAAAAGGCCAAACCTCAAGGGAAAAAAGACAACAAGCAAGTAAAACAATCCTTATAATAACACAATACAAACTTAAGCCACATGTACAATATAGTATAATGCAACAACAAATTGCACCCTCAAAAAATACCCATGGATCAATGCCTCTATGACACAGGATTAACAAATACTAAACACTAGAGGCTCTACAGAGTAATCTGCATATTGTTTTAGACTTATAATCATACTGTGTCCAGAGCCTGCAGGTCTGTGCAAAATTCAATAAGCTCTTTAATCTTATATGGATTTATTTAAGCCTATTGAAAGCTGAGGTTAAGAAAATTAAGCTAATTGAAACAAAAAAAGGCTAAGTAAGCTTGGCTGTATGTTATTTTATATATGCTTACACTAAACGTAGCTTTGAATCCATCTAAATAGTCAACTATGGCTTTGTTCAAAAAATTGTTTAATTGAAATCAATGTTCTGATGCACAAAGCTTAGAGAGTCACTTACAGTTTTATCGTGGGGTAACCGCGAACACCGAACTCTGACGCCATTCCTGCAAAATAGAAAAAATATATAGCATCTCAAACGAAAATATATTATTATACTGAGAACCATCTTTCTCTTCAAAAGGTTTGGAAGTTATCCTGTTTTCATCTTTTCACAGGGTTGAAATAACTTCTCTAATTAAGATTCAGCGAGTGAGTTGGATCAGGAAGTGGATGGAACATTTTAATCTTCGGGATTTGAGCCCATTTGTTTGCAAATAACAAGATGAGTCAATTGATAGCACTCTCACGTAGCTACAGAAATGTTGGAGCCAAGCTAAACTAAGCTAATGGCTAAGTTAAAATGACATAAATAAATGATTATCAATGTCTGCTAAAATCTCATAAGCATATTTCCCCAAAAACTAAACTATTCTTTTCAAAAAGCCCCATAGATTATACCATTTCTTTTTTTATGTATTCTAGTCATGTTTCAAATATTAGTCTTTTGTCATATATAGTCAACCTTATCCTGTGTTTATCAGGCACTTAATGATACTGTTCGCTAGGGCTGCTCAATTAATTGTATTTTAATCGCAATTACGATTTTGGCTTGCAACGATTATGAAAACAACATAATCGAAATAAAACGATAATTTTTTCTTTTTTTTTAATTGGTTTTTCAGTTGAATTATACTTAGAGTTCAGGGTAATCAACTGTTAAAAACATACTGTTAAAAAAAAAAGTTCAATAAATGGATGTTTTCAAAGTAAATGGATAATCGTTTTTAATAATTATTGACCCAAATAATCGAGATTATGATTTTTGCCATAATCGAGCAGCCTTACTGTTCGCTTATTGACAGGAAATCAACATAAGTATCTATGGATCATTCCAGTCAGCACATTTTGATGCAATTTATCTTAAAGTGTACTCACAACATTAATATTTTCCTGCATGGGTTAGGGTTAACAATAATTTTGACATATCATGGTGAAATAAAAACTCTTATCTTCTTTATGTTGGTTTAAAATAAGACCTGACCTGAGGCGTCATCATGTTGTTGAACAACACTGTCAATTAGTTTGATCTATATCTGTCTCCAGCACATGAAATATTCACCTGGGGACTAACAGTCTCCTAGGGAAGACCTTGAGGTGCTTTATCGTCTACTCACCAGAGTAAGCCGTAGCATCCATCTTTCCCACGCGGACCGGCGATCCGGAGCTCTTCAGTTCTGCTCCCACATCGTACCACACCGGCTCCAGCTTTTTACAGTATCCACACCATGGGGCATAGAACTGAAAATAACAAATAGGAAGAAAACTTTAAAATAATGTAAACATGTTACGTTATATCATGCAAACTATAACATCATCTATGTAGTAAATAACCAAATCTGCATTATATTCACATATGTATTTGTATGCAGTATTGTGCCACTTAACTTTGATCCTGTGCGCTAGGCCAGCCAAGGTCTTTTTGAGCAAACTCGCTTCCAATTAATCTAACACAAGGTATATTTCACATTGACCTTACTTCGTTTTTGTTTTGCTTTATATGACCTCGCAGTGATTTAAGAGCTTCCTTAGTGCTGTGTTGTTGCCACTATTGTACTTTTTTTTTAAAATGATATTGAGTATGACCTCAAGGATAGATTAAATGGAATAAACGACAACACTACAAACTTAAATAATGGTCATAAGGGCTATCTAAGGTACATCTTAGACTTTCAACAAATCATTTATAAGTGATAAGTTGTGTACATAATTTACTTATCATTCCCTTTTAATTTTGTAGGGCAATCTTGTCAACAAACAGTTACTTATTTTACATATCCGGAAATTATCGAGCAACATTGTATTCATTTAGGGTCATGTTTATTTCCTCCTGGTAAATACAAGTCCAAATCTCTACTCCGCATTTTGATCAGCTTTTGGTCAACACCACCTCGCAGTATTGTATAGTTGGTTTATTTAGAACTTCTACTGATCTGCGGAGTCTGCTTATAAAAATGATAAGTATAATTTTGAGTTAATCACTTTAAACCACACAGTGGAGCTTTCAAAATATACATACAGTAAGTAACTGGTGATAATTCAGGTCTATTTTATAACATTAGACCAGTTCCATGGAATGTCTTAATTCCCCAAAAAATAAGTATTTGAGTTGAATATATTCCATGACTGCTCAGTTCTGAACACAGTGTATGAGAAACAGTAACCATTTGACACAGTATTTAAAGGCATAAGGACTCAGTGTTGCAACTCAAACTAGTAGTGAAGGCAGCTTTGAGTGCTCAAACTTGATTTGCTTGAATGGTAACATACACAAACTCTGATATAAAGCCCTCCGAGCCCCCTGGCTTTGCCCGGCATGCATGACTTCTCATTCTCTAATCACAAATCCAGAGGACAGTCTGCACCCCCCCTCCGGCCCCCGCCCGCCTACCCCGACTGCTGCCACTTCCGCAAGGGATGATCCCAGCAGCGTTGCGCTGGATATGAAGTAAAGCATAGCTGAATGGACCCAGACTGTGTGTGTGTGTGTGTGTGTGTGTGTGTGTGTGTGTGTGTGTGTGTGTGTGTGTGTGTGTGTGTGTGTGTCAGACTCACATCCACCAGCCAGACATCGCTCACTCTAGTGTCCTTAAATCTGTCCCAAAAGAAGAATAAATCAAAGTGACATAAAGTGAACTAGATGCTATTTTCTGTAAACTCATATTATAAAGATGTGTGCTACATGTCAAACATACACATAATAAAGACACAGTGGAAGAATTGATATTCAAACATGTGAATATGAGGGTCATTGTTCGTTAAAAGTAAAAGACCCATGAACTTCATAAAAGAGATTAAAAAAACACAAATACACAAAATCTCTACAGACATCCACAAGCATCCAATTAAAATGCAACAGGAAACCTGAGATGAAATCAAGATGACCCCCTTTAATTTGTAATTATGTAGCCCTTTGTTAACCCCTTCAAATATGGGTAAAATTGCATACAATCAAAAATGCACAAACTCCTCTAATAGAGAAGAAGTAAGCATCAAACGTAACTGTGATTTGCACCCACATGATGGCTATAGCACGTTATCATGTCACAGTAGCAGGAAGGTGAAATATAGGCAGAGGAGTGCATCACTTACGTGTCATCTAGATCTTCAACAAATGCAAGCACCGCTGAAGCCAGAAAAGCCGCGATAACTGCAACATTGAGACATACATTAAATCACACAAACGACATGTCATATTAACGCACCAACATCTTTACAGTCTATTGTCCAGCCTGAAACCTCATGACTGAAGCATCACCAGCTAAAGCTCGTCCCAGCTAACTGAGCATCATTTCCCCTTCGTTTCGACAACTGGAGCTTTAAAGGTTATATTAACAGATGCAGTGGTTACATGTTTCATTTAGCGTTGAATGTAAATGAATAAAAAAGTGAACATACCGCCACAAATTAGGGAAGCTTTCACTTCTGCCATTGCTTCGAGTGGAAACAGCAGCAAGCAGGAAATACAGCTGCTAAATGTAGCCGGACTGCGCATGCGCGGGGTTACGCAGGCTCACAGCCATGCTCACAACCATAGACATATAAAGAGCCAAGCCTCTTTATATGTCTATGCTCACAACAGCTTCAGGCCCTAACGGCTGCTTTTTATTTATTGTTTAATATTTAAAAATGATACACGTAAAACTGGATCCGTGTATTTTGTTTACCATTGTTTTCCTGTTTTTCAGAATCCGCACTCAACATGAAATCCAAATAAAAATATCGTAATGTGCAAATAATAGTTGCTTCTTTTTTAAATTCACGTTATATTTATCAGGCAATTAAACTGCATTTAACTGTATTAGGTTATAATACTGCCAGTAATAGCGAATACTCACCACAAGGTGGCGATCTAATCAAAGAATACAGGCAACAGTCCAACACTTCCTGTAGGCCAAAGTATCATAAAGTACTGCATTCAAAGTTATAATTGAAGTATTATCAGTAATGTGCTATTTATGTGGTATTACTCCTATATCCTTAATTTACAATACCTGGCCCCAGGTTTAGGAATTTGCAGCATGTAATTATAATATGAAATAATAAATTACCAAATTTGATCAAATGAAAAGATAATATTTTCCAAGACTCATTGACATATTGTTGTGTATTATACTTCATACGTTGATCATATGTTTTGAATATAAAATATGTATCTGTAACGTTACTGTCAGGTAGATTTTGTGAAATAATTCCCTCTAAAGTAGAAAAGAAGCAAAAAATGGTGTATTCGACAGTTATATCGAAACATTTATTATCATCAAGATTGTTTGCGCAAAGTATCACATGAATTTAGGAATTTATTGGAAACATATTTATTTTGACATATTTTGAGAATAATATTTTTTAATTACTTAATGTTACTACATAATCGTCATATTCCAAAGGATATAGTTTTATCTTTATTGTATTCTTATGCACTGACATATCTCACATCACACATGAGCACATAAAAAAGAAATGACAAGGCATTGAATGGTTAGCTTCACAGAGTGTACTGGATTTTACAAAATAAATAAACATCTTGGTGTAATATTATTGGTATGATGGCCATGTTGATATGCTTCATAAATCGGCCAAGTACCATAAGTCATAACATCACAGACACTTCAGCAGAATTAGAAAGCATTAGCCCAGCCTGCAAAGGGTTTTAAGATAGACAGAGGTCTTGATAGATATTTTAACTTTAATATGAAGTAATGCAGCATTGAATAAACATCAAGCAGTTCTTGAAAAGAGAGAACATTCGTAACATTTATATCAGAGATTCCGGTTTCTTTTTATTGTATCATATTAATCTACACCATTATGTGTGGTGGAATTTTTCAACAGACATTTTATATATCTAAAAAACATCCGCCAACTCAAAATGTAATTCTTGGGAAAAAGAGAGAACCAAAAAGAAGCGTGAAATTGTTTCCCCCCGTGAGAAAGAGCTGTACTTTCTCATGGGGGGAATGGTGATCATGACTGTGTTACTAAATAGACTCATGTGGAGGACCGTCCTGTTGAAGCCCTGTGTGCCAAGTTTGTGAGGGTTGAATGCTTTTTGTATTTAGAGGGGCAAGAGGGTGGACCCAAGCTGTTAGCCCACATTGTTAAGCCACAATGACTTCTGCACTGACAAAACTGTCAAAACAATGAATATAGATGGACTTCCTTACAGCTAACCCTACACAAATATACACGCTAATTTGCATTAAACACAAATAAAGCTCCACAGTTAAATAAAACATACAAAAAACATGATTTTGTATCAAGTGTTTGATCACTTCACACAACTTTTCTATCCAAAGCCTTGGTACAGCAAGGTTGTTTGTGTTCTTAGGATAAAGAAAGGACTTGTTCCTCCATTGCAGACCAAGCTGTAAACTCCCACATTCAGAAAGACTGCAGTCAGCTTTCCGACTGAACCCACACACGTCATCTTACAGAACGGGTCAGATATGACCTCAAGTGACCTATGAAACAAAGCTTTCTTTGCCCCATGTCATCACTCATCACATGGCAACACCAGCAGTGACATGATTCAGTTGTCCACATAATGGCAACACTCATTCACCGCTCTGATACATACAATTATTTGTTTATTAACATAAATTCAGCAACGTTACAAAACAAATTTCAAACACACATTACATTCCAACTTATTATTCAGATAAACCTTCATAAAATAACCTCACAGAAATCCAAAAAGGCATCCTTAAGTTCTCACTTTGGAAAGTTGTAACAAAAATATGACAATTAATATTATATTCCTTAATTTACCAGCACGTTTTTTTAATTCTACAACAGGAATGCTTTAGACGAAATATGCACCTATGAATTATATTATTGTATCCTCTCAGGCCAAAGAACTCCATATAACAGCATCTGAACAGAAATCACATAATGAATCTTAAACTGGTATTTAATAAATGAAAAAAAGTCCCTAAACGCTGGTGGCATAAACACATCATACACAAAGCTTACTCCCACAAGAAAAACAAAACTGGTTAAAACTGAGAAAACATATCCGGGAGCAATTTAAATAAGACAATAGTCTCTGAAGATCAGTCACATATATCCTGGCAAAAAGATAAAACAACTGAGATAGAAAAGCAAAGTTCTGGTTGATTCAGCTACATTTTTAAGTAACAATGAAGGGTCCAATACTGTACTTTTTCTAAATGTGGTTGCTGTGTGGTGATGTCCGCTCAGGTTTCAGTCACACATTCCAAACCCCATACAATGATGTATTTGGGGAATCCTTTTGAAGTCCTCCAGCTGGACATTTTGAAACCTCTCCAGCTGTTAGCATCTGCCTCGGGACTGAAGGACCACCATTGTTGCTGCCACAGGTTGTGTTACAACACCTGAAGCCAGTATAAAGACAATCCTGTCATGTTTCTTCTTGACACACTCACTAAGGCTCTGAATGAGGCACACTGATGACGTCGCTTAAAGTGGACAAAGTGGTGCATTTCTTCCAATATTTCTTCTGCCGAAAAATCCACTACGAGAAAGTCTACCGTTTGAAAGGATAAGCAGCATTCACTTGGAGCAGCTTTTTGCAGCGTTGCATAGCCCAGGTTCCATTTAAGAGTACATATTCCTCAATGATCAGATGTCTATCAACAGGTAGTTCATTCCAGGATGTCTGTTTCAAATGGAACCAGATGGTAGTAGGAAAGGTTGGTGACATACGCTTCTGTGTCCTCATCACACAAATCTGCTTCCATCGACAAAAACTCTGTTCCATCCTCATACCTGGCAAAAAAATTAAAAGATGCGTTACTCCAAGGATAAGAAACACTTCTAGGTTTACAAATAAGAATCAAAAGCGTGATGATTATATCGTTGACATCAACCCTTAGAGATTTAATTAGCTAGTCGAGTAGGAATTTCAGATATTTAAGAGTTATGTAAGGCATTGTTTTGCATTGTGCACCAAGAGCAATCAGTTCCTCTTTTGCTTCCTACACACACCCAGGGAAGGAAGAGGTGCACAGACACACTTCCTGTTGAGGCGGAGGGTCCGAGGTTGGGTCATATTCGAAGACTTACATTCACACTTACTAAACACTCAAGAGCCAACATGGAAACCTTTTTTTTGTAGAAAACAAGCAGCTTGATGATAGATTTAATGAATGTTTTAAATAAATGGAGCCAATATTAGAGAGTATTCTATGAAAAAGCCAATATTATAGGGACTGAGACACTGACAGAATATTAAAATGAGGCATCTTAATACTCACGTATGTTCCACTGAGTCTGTGGATGAGGGTCTCTCTTTTTCTTCAGGGAGACTGTGATCAAACACAATGGTTTCTGTATTGGCCAGACAGAATCCATTGGACTGCATGATTTCTAAAAAGGCACAGAGTGTTGTTTGAGTTACATTAGGGATGTCAACAGGCACTCCATCTTTTTTCTTAGAAGAAATACAATATACCTGATATTGTGATTGGACTCTGAAAGCATGGCTGGATTCTGTGGACTTTGTCGTTCCTCAGCACCTGGTCCAGCGGCGATCGCTCAAAGAAAGTCAACATCACCTCTGACCTTGCATACTGTGGAGCCAGGATATTAGCACTTTAGCATACAGTTCACATAATTGTATGTTTCAAAACATATAACTTTCACACTTAAGCCAGTGTATCTAATCGATTAATTCCTGATACTGGACACCTCAAAGTGCAGTATCCCACCACTGGTATGGTCACTTGCTAAATACAAAATGAATACCATTGTTCTACATGTTGCAGTCAATCAGAATTGAGTATTCACCCAATACCTCAGGGTTATAGTAGACACCAACCTTGCATGGCATGTTGATGGCATTCTTCAGAAGTCTTTCCACCTCATTCAATTTCTCCTCAATGTCATTGGCCTCTTTGATTTTCACCAGCCCTAAAACAAATACGAATATTTAAAATCTCCATTATGAGGATTTCAAAAACAGTTTTCTCCATCCACCAGGGCATTTATATAATTCAACACACCACATCTAGAATGAATCCTATCGTTGTGAAACTAAAAACCTTCAGAATATGGTCTTATAATGTCAGAGAGAACAGTTTAAAAAGTATGGTATTTTTATGTCTAAAGTTTGTCTCACTGCAGCATAAGTAATTAAATGAAATAACTACCGTAAAAATAGAAACAACTCTGAACTAAAGAGTCTGCTGTAAAAAAGAAAAGAAAAAGACTGTTCCGCAATCAAAATGTTAAGGGTTACTTTTTCTGTTTGACCAAAAAGGGCTGCTGCTGTGACCTTTATTGCCACCAGACTGTTATCTGTCCACTCAAAAAGCCAGACTGGTCTAATTTGATCCCTAGTCTTGAAAAAGGTTGCCTCAAATATGTATTATATATGACAGTATAACCTTTTTAGTGACAAGGCCCTGTGTTATTACCCAAAGTGGAAAGAGGGAAAAAATAGACTTTTCATCATTGTCTTTTCAACATGGAAACAGTGCGTCACTGTAAAACTGTAGTGTTATTGCAAACATTCAGCAGACATATAACAGAGGAAAGTAATAATAATGCGAGAGAAAAGAGCAACAAAATAAACTATTCATCCTACATATCACTAGGAATGCAATTTAAGAAGCAGTGGGGAGTGTAAAATCAGCCCTTTAAGCAACTAAAGACTGCCGCCCATGTTAGCGGGCAGTCAGCAAAGCAACATTTTTACTGCCTTGTTGACAAAGGGATGTGGTGAGGAGAATAATGATGAAGACTGCAGCCACACTGATGAGTCTCTGTCTGATGTAAGTGGTACAGGAACATAGTCACACAGCGGTTAGTGTTACATGGAGGTTCTGAGTAGCCTAAAGCATCACTGTGCACAGTCACCGTCTCATCCATCTATAATGGCCAGCAGTGATGACATCATACCCAGGGAGTGATTGGGCAGTTAAATTATCACTAGGAACCAAGTGAGACTCCTACCCAGTCTGAGCCTCAAACTGCCTCCGGATCATGTTCTTTTATCCTTTTAAACCCCTTTGTCAGTTTTCTCTGTAAATGGGACAAATCAAACAAGTAAAGGGCTTATACTGGTGTTGTTCTGTCAAGATTGAGACATAACAGTAATTCAGTTTAAGGCGAATAAAAATATATATTTTCTTACTAAATGCTTTTGGGATTTAAAAGATTATTTAATATGGTAAACATATTGAGCAGGTCATTTGTTGGTTTATCCACATAATTTGAATTGGTGTAAGTAACTATAGTACCATTAAATAAAGGCAATTGCACAGAAATTCAAAGTGGACAGCATGGAAATGATCAGAAAAAATTACATTAGTTGAATTCATGTGTTTACAGTGCATGCTATTTTGTGAAATGGTTGATTCTCGGGGGTTGCCACAGATAATTAAAAGCAGTTAACATCTCAAACAGAAACAAAGCCTGGATGATAACATGACTGCAGGGACTTCAAACCACACCCAGTCTCATCAGCTGTTCCTTGTAAACAGATTGAAAAGTCTAAGTCCTGCCGTTTAGGGCACTAATGTTTCCAATCAACTGCACATTATTTATTATGAAGGGCAGGCACACAGCACACCAGGGTGCAAATAGAAACAGGGAAGGGAGTGTTAGGGACTGATAACAATCATCACAAGTGCTCTCAATCCCCTAAAAAGCAGTTTTCTCATGGTTATAGCAGATCGGGAAGGCCAGAGGAGCTTGTCCCAAGAAGAAGCTTGTGTTGGACTCAGAAAATATTTAGCAGCCTAGATATGCCTTAGCAGCTGGTGCCCAAGATATATTTTACATCTAAAATTAATCACCAGTCACATGAATTCATAAATACTACTGTAAGTATATATTTAAAAAAAAGAGTGGAATCAGAAATTAAGTCTATTGCTTTGTTAATATAATTAGGCAAAGCATGGTGTGTGCTATTATGTGACTGTTTCATGTGCAAAAGAGAAGTATGCAAGTTTGTTTTTGCCACAGCTTGGTGTTGGTTGCCCAATATTACAGCCTGTCCTCCTACAAAAAACGACCATATAGGCCGATTGTTCATGCCCTTATTTCGGCCCAGAGACACGTTTGAAAGTGTATGTTGTTTCTTACACGACCACTAGAGGTGCTCTAGTGGTAGTGTAAGAAACAACATGCTCCCGGGCCCGGCCCGTTCATTGCAAACGCTCCGGTAGGGACGTTTATTCACAAATAACCCTCTCTGGAAAATCCTAAATTGTGGAATAGTTTGGCCATTAAAATGCGTTTTGATTCGATTTCTGGCGAGAAGAGTATATTGTACTCTTAGAATCCACGTCCAGTCGATGTGTAGGATCTATAGTTTGATAGATATTACGAAGATGATTTGAGGTCTCGCCAGGATAACGTGTATCCAGCTTCCATGTAAAGTTAGCGTGGGTGAAAACAGTTTTTCTGGTCTCGAAGTTTTCACAAATAAAACCAGAAGTATTCCCTTCACTGTCAAATGATTACACAGTGATATCTGCATTACTCATCCACTAAAAAACATCAGTTTATCCTTGTTAATTACACAATATTGATTGGTTTAAATTGTGTACAATGCTTTTGTGTTTTTAACCTTCGATTCATAGAAACAAATAGTTTTTTCGGAGTTTAGACACTACAGTTTCCGAAGACACTACACTACCCAGAATTCCCAGCTATCGTTTGGGACTACAACATCCGCCTTGCTTTACAAACCCCGTGATTAGTCATCAAGCCCTGTGATTGGATGTTGGAGTGGCAGTGCGACAAGGTTAGGCTGAGGGTCAAACAGCTCTATGAAATGGAATGGAACCACGGCAGACTTTCCAAAACTGGAATTGGACGGGTCCAGCCCCCCCCCTCCCTCCCCCCAGAACTACACATGCTGGCTATTGTGTGTTTCGCAACATGTTCTATGGCACGTGTCTTTATAAGACGTTTTCGTATTTCCCACAATTAGAAGTTGCCAGTATTAAACTGTGTACACCCTGGAGGTTTAGGGGATACGAAACACAGTGGTGTTATCAAATGTAAAACATATAATTAATAAATGGGTGAATTAATATACCCACATGACACCTAAGGTCAGAAGAGCTTTATTTAACAGCTGGTCTTATGTCTGTGACCCCTCCTGTTGTTCATTGATAAGCCTGAAACATGCACTTGTCACGGTTCAGAAGCAAATTTTGCAAATATGGCAGTAACCATCGATCATCTTAAGATAAGATAAGATATACTTTATTGATCCCAAGTTGGGAAATGTTTTTGTTACAGCAGCATGTACTACTTTGTTCTACTCCACTACAATTCAGAGGTTAACCTGGTATTTTTACTCCACTACATTTATTTGTAGTTACTTTGCAGATTCTGATTAATGATGTGAAATATAAACAACCCTTGAATCAGACTTTAGTTACACCTGAGTCAAATTCAGGAAAGGTGATTGTCAAGTGCCAAAATAAATTATGAAATATATTGGACGTTAAGTACTTTGTCAGACTTCATATTTATCTGTGGATAACCCCAACGTTTTTTTCTTATTCAAAAGAAGACCTTAACTTAAAGTATTCTTTAATGTTTAAATAAAGCTTTATTAGTTTGCCTGTTTTGCACATCCTCCTATTAATATCTTTGGACGTCCTGCACTAAACTGTTTTATTGTAGAGATCACTACAGTATCTTCTTGATATTTTCTATTCTATATTTCTATCATGACTTCTACTTTCCCCCAATTTTGTATAGGCTACTCTTAATATTTAAATGTTTTCATCAAATAAAACTTATTCAAAAACAAAATTCAATAACGTGCTTTAACCACTAGGCGGTGCGGGTTAAAAAAACAGTGGTGTAGTTAATAAAACATAATAATATCAAACATATGACTATTAACTTTATTTTTAAATTAAAACAGAACGGTAAAGGAAAATACAGTTTCAGTCTCTCGATGTGAAGCTTATGCATTGTACCATGAACCTGTATAGACCTGTAACAGTCAACTGCATGAGGAGTTGGAAAGGTAGTTCAGTAAATAATATCTTTAAAAACTACAAAAAAATCCCTTTCTATCAGCTGTGCACCGTTATGGTGTAAATACAGACCATCTACTAATTGGATCAAATATAAAAGTCTGCAAGGAGACGTATTGTGTGAAAAGAAATGGAAGATGTTGTTTAATTGCTAATATATTTATGATCCACGTCACGTATTCAGTTTTGGCGACATTTCTTACAGTTTGTCAAAAGGTCTTCTGATCAGGGCTCTATAAATAAATATCTACGGCAGATATGTAATATTTAATACAGCCGAACCGTGTATTACAATGCCGTTATGTGATGACTTCCAAAGAGAAAAGCAAGAACACTCGGAATAAAGTATTATTTTCTTTAAAAAAAAAAGTTTTTCCTATTTCATATCGCATAAACACCATATCCCGACATGCATTGCGGCTAAAACAATCGATGTTTTAGCCCATCAAAACCTCTGAAAAAAGAAAGGTGTCTCTCAGAATCGAAAGAGAAAACCCTATGGGAAAAACACAAAAGCATTGTACACAATTTAAACCAATAAATGTCGTATAGTTAACAAGGATAAACTGATGTTTTTTAGTTGATGAGTACTGCAGATATCACTGTTAAATCATTTGATCATTGGTTTTACTTTTATTATGAAAACGTCGAGACCGGAAATACTGTTTCCAACCCGTAACTTTACATGGAGGCTGCCGCATACCTCAAATCATCTTCGTAATATCCATCAAACTATAGATCCTACATATCGACTGGAAGTGGATTCTAAAAGTACAATATACACTTCTCGCAAGAAATCTAATCAAAAAGCGTTTTAATGGCCAAACTATCCTACAATTTAGGATTTTACAGAGAGGGTTATTTGTGAATAAACGACCATCTGTAGCGTTTGCATTCAACGGGAGCACTAGAGGGCGAACACCTTAAAACGTAATTATAGGACGTATTAAGCGCTTGAACAAAGACATATGTGGTCGTAATAAGGGCCTGAACAATCGGCCCATTTGGTCGTATGAGTTGGAGGACTTGTTGCAATATTAAATGGTGCTAACCACAGTGGATCTGGTGTGTGTAGCTGCAACTTGGTGTTGTTCTTCTCTATAATTAGAAACAGCAAATTGACACATACCTGCTGCCATCAGAACAAGAAAATTCTCTTAAAACTGCTAAAAGACTTTAAAATGCTGAAAATCTGATATTAATCTTTACTTTGTCTTCCTAGACCAACCTTACTTTGTGCAGTTGGGTGTCTCTTCAGGTTGAAAATCTATTATTAAAGTGGAACGGTAAAAAACAGTGGTTTGTGTGATCTTGGAGAGGTTAATGTGGGTTGCATCCATTAACTAAAGTGTAAGAAAAGGCACACAACCTGTATGCAAAGGATACAAGCAGGAGGGCGTCCCAAAATGCAGCTAATCTTGACACCAAAATAGCAGCGCGCCACTGAACTGACAATGACACCCCTCCTACTGTGCCTCTTCTCCCACTGTGGCAACGGGCACAGGCAAGGGAAAAAACAACTCTAGGAAATGGTTTCATCTTTCCCCTCATTTTGATCCCTCTATTCCACCATTTTATATGTTCAACACAGAATGCAGCTCTGTTTTTTCCTGCTAAGTTCCCCAAGTGTATTTCCTCCAATTTCCTGTCAAATTGTCTATTTCCTACTTGGCTTTCTCCTTGCTACAGTGTCCTTCTTTCTTAGACTATTCATTCAGCCCCCAGTAAGGACTTATGGCCTTCACTCTTAGTTATCTTATGTTTTGGAGATAAGCAGTCTTCATGTGCCTTGTGCAACAAGTTCATCAAATGTATTGATAACAGTAACTATATAGAGAAATGTTGGTGTATGTCCGTGCCTCTTACTTTTTGTAATTGCACACTGTTATTTCTGTGACAGCATGCCGTGTTGATAAGCCACTTCACCTATTAGCTGAAATAACACAGTAGAAGTAGATGCACAACAGGAACATGACTGTCGAACACATTATCTAAGCAGTCATCAGATGTTGTAAGCACCAGCTATTTCACAGCTATCCTCTGCATGGATCTGATAAGCACAAGTCAGCAGCCGAACGTTTTATCATCTAACTCTCCGCTGTTTCGTCAACGTGTTATTTCTAGCGGCTTAGTCAACAAGCAGAGGACATCCAACTTCAAACATCCAATTGCAATGTGTCCAAAATGGCTACCTAGTGCACTATATTGACTGAAGGACATTACATTTCAGCTTCCATATTCTGACAGTACAATCAATGCTATTCTGCAACGACTAATTTCCAAAAAACGTTCACGAGTAATAACATCTAAACGTTAGTTCTTCACTTACTTTATCAACCAATATTCCACATTTAAGGGTTAAAGAAGAACATGTATACCATTCATATTTGTTAAATTTAACTAGTCAGTAACTTACAACTTAAACGATTTTTGCAATGATTTTGATTAATCTCTACAACAATGTGTGACATGTAAAATAGATACATTGCAGTTTTAACGGTAGGGACTATTTTTATTTTTAAATTGTTCATTTTAGTGATGCTGTTGGACATACATATTTTCTTATGTACCGGCAGAGCCAGGATTGGTGTTTTACACATGTTTCCATTCTTTGTGCTAAGCTAGCTGGCTGTACATTCATTTTTAATTAACAGATATGAGCGCTGTATCTATATTCTCATCTAACCCCAAGTAGCAAGTAAGCAGATATATTTATTTCCAAAATTGTTATACTATAACACACATTATATGGTCAGTTCTAACTATTCAAAAACTATGTCAATAAGGAAGGACAAATATAGTGTCTATACTACAAAAAACTTAATCCAATGCCCCAAAGATATGTAACTCGGCGCTACTAAGCGTCCAAGAGCAAACTATTAAATATTTACTATGTAGGGATTAGTGAACGAGTGTAAGAGGAAGTGATTTCTGACACAGTAATATGATTCTTGGATGGAATCTTTCTCACAAGGAATGTGAGCAATCACTTCCTGCCTGTGTTCACTCCGGGGTCACATGAAAGGTAAGTGTTATGGGGCCTTTGCAGTCCACAGGGACCAAATATGGGAAGTCCACTCCTCTCTCCCTCTCGTCATGACATCAGTCTGAGAGCTCTGCACGCCTGCCTTGTTGCTTAGACGCAGCACAGAAACATGAAAACATGAGCGGAGCCAGAAACTGGAGCAAAGTGGACTGAGAAAGGCCACAGTTACACTTTTTCACAGCTTTCAGTCCAAGTGGCAATTTATAGGGGATGCAAATGAAATATTGAGAGGTAGGAATTAAAGAAAGGCCATTAGAGGAATTTGATTATCCCTGTGGCTTGCTATCCATCCATGAAATTGTAAAGCCAGCTTGAAGGAACACTGATGTCTCGTTCAGTGCTGATGTCACAACTCCATTTATCTTTTAGCTGTAAAGGGTATATACAAAAAAAAAAAGTGAGTCAGTAGATCTAAAATGTCTCTTCCCTAAATGCACTGCAGACTGCAGCAATAGAGCAGCTAGCTGTCAACAAGCTTCTCAGCTATTTCAGTGCGCGGGCAGGAAGTGGAGCGTTCCAGTTGCCACTAAAGGGATGTTTCCAAAATGTTTGTAGAGACTCAGTGCGTAGAGACAAAAGAGTGCCAAGGAACGAGAAGAAGTCTGGAGCTCTGCCAAACCTGTTGGCAGTGCCACAGTGCTATATTGTCAAATATCCAGACCCTTAGGGCCAGAGGTTTGGGCTAATTAAGCAAAAGACTGCCCTCTAAAAAGCCCTGAAGCATTGCTGTAGATAGAAGATGTCACAGCGCCTTTTCATAAATAAATACTTTTCAACCTGTCAATTAATTTATTTTTCATGGATGGTTAATGATTCTGAATGTTTTAACATGTTCAAAGTAATACAGCTTTTGCTGATTTTTGTTTGGGTTTACTCCCACAGCGAGATCTGCAATTGCCTTTGATCAATGCACAACTGAGGTTGGTTCCTAGGCGTCAGATAATAGCTGCTCAGACATCCCAGCAACATCCATTCTTCCTAAATAGTTGTCATGTGTCAGATGCAGAGAGCAAATATTAACATGGAAGTCAGTGTTGGTTCTTTTGATATTCTCCCATTGGGAACTTTTAAGCCACAAAGAAGTGAAAGCAGCCTTTTAGCTCATAAATATTGACATTAGATACAAGCTCTCAGTTTGTTGGTTTTGTGGTGTCAGGGCTATGTGCAGTCTCCTAATGTGATACCCAAAATTGGACTCTGTTAAATATTACCCTGTCCAAACAAAAGCATGTAAACCTAATCTATGATGCGCTTCATTTTGGATTAGCTCCAAACACTTATTGATTTTGTTGACAATGTTTTCCTGCTTTTTTTTTGCTGTCCTAAACATATTATTGAAATAATCTTAGTTAATGTGTTAACTAAGATGATTTCATGAAATAATGTGAGATTGTTTAGGTATGACGTCTCACTTTCTTCACAAAATATAGGGGCAAAAAAGTAATGTTGTCCTAAAATGAAAGTCAACTATATTATCATTCTGGTAATGGATTACAATTTCTTAAATCCCTTAGGCACTTTGTTATTAGTTATTTTAGAGTTTCTTATTTCCAAGGAACTTGGTTGGTGCTTTTGGATGACTGTTTAGGAGCAATTCAGTTGTTAAATTTCAAATATTATCCTAAAGATATAGGCACTGTCTTAAGTTTCATTTGTAACAAAGTAGGATTTAAGTGATGAGCAATCAATCTGAAAATACCACCAATGATACTAAAAATCTTTATAGTTAAGTATTTAATAAAGCACAGCTGGCAAATAGTTGTGCATTCTGGCTTCTCAATTGTTAGTTGCTAACAAATTCAAAAGTGCAGAAATTGAGGGGGGTCAAAGCCCTCTACTGTGCATTTGGCCCCCCAATTTAAGGGATACGCCCCTGATCAGAATGTAACCATTACAAAGTAAACTAATGGCACATTATTTCTGATGCCATGTTACTGTATTAAAGTATCACTTCCTGCCATACAACTATCCCATTCCCATCAGACCAACCTTCTATGAGCGGAGACTTGGATAAGTCTCTTATGTCCTCAGGAAAGGACTCCAGCAGTCTCCTAAACAGCCGCCCCAGATCGGAATAACTCCGATGCAAGTATAAAATGTTCCTGTCAGACCACTCTGTCCTTATCTCGAAGAACTCCTCTTCCTCTCCCCGCTGGCTGATGATCAGTCTGCGGATCCCGTTGACCCAACAGTCTCGGACAAACATGTTGACCAGCGACGTGCCTTCAAACACAGCCGATGCCATTCCTCAGACGTCAGTCCAGCATGCTGGGGCGGGCCGGGGGACAGCACGCTGGGGGAAGAAGGAGTCGATACAACAGAAGATTTGAAAAATAAAGAAATTCAGCCAAAGAAGAAGTAAAGACAACTCCGGTAACTTTTCGGTCTGCGCGCACTGACAGCTGTTGTGTTTAAGCACAGTGGGAGGATGTTCTGCTCAGCCCATCACAGGCAAACGTGGCATGATCTGAAAACATAGACTTTTGTCATAGATACCGCCCCCACACAATGGATTTGTCCATCGATCCAACAACAGTTTGGCTAAATAAAGTCCAAAGAAGATCTCTCAAAGTATAAAGTGCTGCTCCCTCCTCCAGTCTGCCGTTAGTTTCCTAAATCCAGAGCATATCACTTCACTCTGTCTGGGTAAGCTTTTCTTTCAGTTTCCTCCCCTCTCCTTCCTTCCTCCCTACTTGACAACAGGGTATTATCATGCAAAGAATGCAAAGGGCTGAAAAGACAACACTGTCAATCTCCTTATTCCTGGGGTAAATAGCTTATTAAGCCCTTTTCCTTTTCAGTTTTGTTTTTCTGGATTTGACGCCATTTGCCACGTCTTTCCACAAATCAGCAATCTTGAAATTATATGTTTGGAAAAGACCACAGGAAAATAACATCAACGCCTCAAATCCAGCAGAATTTGGCCAATATAAACATTTGCCTTTGCAATATTTTCCATTTCTGATCATGTCAAAATACCATGTAGTTTAGCCAATAGCTACAGCAATGCATTTACTGTAGCCTATTATTTGTCCTGGAAAAGATCTTCTCTGAATTGCTCCATTGCGTTGCACTTTTTTCAGTAATAGAGCTTTACAGGAAGTCGTGGCTAAGTCGAGTAATGACGATTCAGCTGCAATTAACTGTACTGTCTGCAAACAGTTCTGGTAAACAAAATTCATAAAATACAGTAGAGGAAAAAGCATTGTCATTGAAATGAATGCAAGCTGAAAAATACTTATTAGTGGACAGACACAAATGCATATAGGAAATCTCGGAACACTGAACATTGTAGCCTACTGTTGAGATCTGAAAAAAACAATTATTCTATAATGTGCACATAACATTTTATGAGACAAAGCCAGTCTATGGACACAGCACAAGACTTGATCCATGCCTCCTTTGAGCTCGCAATTGCACCTTTGTGAGTTTTTCGGTCTTGTTATGGCAAATGTGAAGGCTTGACAGATTGTGATGCAGCCAGTGAGGGAAATATACATTTCCAATTTGCAAAACAGTCCAAAGAGCTGTCCTTCACATGCAACAGTTTCATATTCAGCTGTTCAATTCCTCGTTACGCTGCAGTGAGGGAAAATATGGCATGGTGGTGTGGGAAAACAGGTGGCCACAGTAGGGAAAATCCTTCAATTATAATGGAAATATTCTGAAAATGTAGACTCAGTAAGAAATTCCTGCTTATGTTGTCTCAGTATTATACTGTACTTTTCAGCTTTATCAATAAGTTCTCAATAAATGTGAAGAAACTACTAATTGAAAGTGAGCTACAAGTGCAAAATCACTTTTAAAGTCATTCATCCTAATAATATTCGAATAGCAACTTGTTGAATGTCGCCGTTTTATACTGGTAATTACAAATGTAGATAAATTGTACAAATAAATAAACTAATTCTTGCTTTGTGAAAATAATATCTCACAAAACATGTGTCACTTAAGCTATTCAAACAACCCTTTGGAAGAAGTTCTTAAATCACATTTCCTAATTTAAATGACTTAAATATAAAAGAAACATTAAGAAAGATGTGTTTGTTGCAGGGCAATGTTTGTTTGCAGAATGGAATCATATTACATAAAACTCCCTTTTCACTGTCCACACACTAACCTGTATCATTACGATAGCAGAAATGATACAGTGGCAAGGAAAACCATGATGCACTGTAATAATAAAGTAGCTCTTGTTGAAATGTCATGTGGTGGTTGACATGTGAGATGCAGTTTTAGGAAAACTATTATTAAGGCTGGTTTTCCGCTGGTAGGGAAAAGACCAAACATTAAAAGATATTGAGGATCAAGTTTGGCGTCGAGTGATTTCTCCCTTAGTGGACAGTTTTGACTATTTTACTTTCAGAGAGGATAAAAAAGGGTAACAGAAATCTAGGCAGCCATTGGACCTTGTTAATGCTGTCTGCCATTTAATGTGGTTCTTTGGTACCACACCTATTGAGGTAAATTAGACAAAAGAGAACTTTTAAAGTAGTTTTCCATCCCAAAAAGTAAACTGACAAAAATAAAGCATCTACAAATATATACAGCAAACAGCTTTGTTAGTAAAATGCTCACATCTGTATGCTTTTACTGCTTTTTAGCAGATATAGGACATGGTCAACATCTTAGTTTAGAGTTGCTTCTTAGGAATAGATAGAACTTACTCGTTTGACCAAGACATATTGTTTAAAAAACGGTTAAATAAAATGGCTAACCAGCCTTTTCAAAAGGCAGAATAAGGACAACTTTCTTAAGAAAGAAAGTGGCAATGGTAGACAATACAGAGAGCTACAATGGGAAACCGTCTCTAACAAATTCAAAACACAACTCACACAGAGACACACAGAGACACACCAGCACACCGGTTTCACGCTGACATCCATGCAGACAGAGAGGGTTGCTGCAGCTTTCCTCAGCCCAGCATGCAGGCCCTGATTGGGGATTGGAAGCACCTGGAGGGAGACAATCAGTGGAAGAGGAAGAGAGAGAGACAAACACATAAACACACACACATCACAGCAGTTTTGCAGCAAGTTTATCGTACCCAAAATGGTCAACAAACTAAACATTTGCCCTGGTGGTGGAGATAGATGAAAAGTCAGGGGAATGCTGAAGATACACAGATTCATCCTCTGGGCACCATGAATATCTGCACCAAATCACACACAATCCACTGCTGTTGATATATTTCAGTGTGAACCCAAGTGGTTAACTGACTATCCAACAGACAGCACATCCAAAACTATTATGTGTTAGATAATACATGTCTTGTACTTTCTTACACTATTGTTCATTTTCTTTGGGTATGGAGATGTATGATGTATGCTGCACATTTCATTTTAAGTACAAATGATTTCAGAATGATTAAGTTACACAGAGAAACCGCCACAGTAAAAACCCTTCTCCCCCTCTGTAATAAGACGATCTGTCTGTTTTGAACCAGGCTTCAGTATGTGGTGTAGCCACATTTACAGCATCAGCACATTCTGTTTCAATGCCTCATTCCAGTGTGTTTCCTGTGAAAGATTAAACCATAAATGGAAAAATGAAAAATAAGTTCACCCACTCATCCTTAAATGCTTTCTCTTGCAGAATTCTAGAACATTTGTCTCTCGTTGCAAGCTGAGGCTTTAACTGTGTGGTGGAAATAAAGAGAGCAAAAGGGAACTGTTGAGAGTGACAAAACATTACAGATTAAGGCTGCCTCTGCACTTTTAATTGACACATTTAGGATTAGAAATGGGTTTGGGTGTGAAATAAGACTGTATTTAGCAAAAGGATTAATTTAGGATTAAGAATTGTACTGTATATGATTAAATGGGGGAGTTATGGCATAATGGTTAGGAGTTTTAGTTGCAATTCAATGTACATTCAATTCACAAACCTGGACCCCCCTTGAAAATGTTATCAGTCCATTAAATAGCTGTTATCAGTTGTAATCTGTACCATTCTTATTCTTCAAACAAGGCAAAATGTGCAAATGTAACATAATTGTTATGTCACTTAAGGTAAAATGTGTATTTCTGAACTTTCTGTGAGGTCTATAGTACAGCCTATGTTTTTTGTTTATCTTGTTGGCCTGCAATATAGTTAAATGCCATGTCATCACTGTAGTATTTTTCATTTTACACCCATGTTTAATTATGCAGTTGAGAGGAGGGAGATGAGGGCTTCTATAACTCCTACTCCTTTGTCACTCCTTTAATCCAAAACTCCAAACAGCCACACCCTAGACCTGCAGTGAACTTTGTAGATTCCTAAATTAAAATCACCTGTGATGACAACAGAGAAAACATAGCCAGTTTCAAAGTCACTTTGCTCCGGTTGCTCACAAGCCATGCACAACGAGGAAGCAGGTTTATTCCTTTCCTTGGAGCAAGCATAAATTCCAAGCTCTGACAAGGCCATATGCTTTTGTCATACTCCCAAACGTTTATCTTTGCACTTGTAAATCATATAGCATCCCCTGTTCTTTCAGTTATTTAAAGCAAAACTGTTTAGAAAGGAAGAGAGAAGAAATAAAAACATAAAAATGGACACATCTGTCACGGTACAAAGAACATCTGCGCTGATGGTAACAGGCGTTGCCTCTTCATTGAGAGGCATTGTGAGCTGTGGCAGAGCTTCACTCAGAGGAAGTCATTCTGAGCCATAACTCTGTCCTCGTCCACACCAGCAGACAAAACCTAATAAAGAGTGCAGGAGCTGGGGTTAGAGAACTGCCGGAGTGTTTTTAACAGGCTGTATAATGGACTGTGGTTGTCTTCACCAAGCATCTGTTGGACCTCGTGCTTTATGGTCTCATCCTTATTGTGTCTCCAGTGAAGCTTGGAGAGCAGAGGCCCCTAGAGTCAAGGCAGAGTGAACGTCTGCTCGCTTTATTTCCTCTCTATGGAGATCCAAGTTCCAGCTAGCAAAGTCATAAATCAGATCTGTGTGTGTGTGTGTTTGATCTTGTTCTTTGGTCATGCTAAACAATGCTTACGATAAATCAATTTACATCCTATACAAAATCCACCTACCAGCGACTTCTAAGCTAAAAAATACTACCACGTCACATTTGGTTCATTACAAAACCTCCAGAAAAATATATTTTGGGATTTTAACATGGCATTATGTGCAAAGGTATGTTTGTGAAAGCTAAACTTCACCCAGTCTTTATGCTAAGCTAAAGTGGTATTGATCTTGTCATTTGGTCCTTGAGCATATGTTCCAAAATGACATACTATTCCTTCAAGGTTCATAAATAATCGGTAGCAATAGGTAAGGAGGAAAACAAAAGTCCATATAGCAACAGACTAACATTCCCAAGCTTCATCTTTACAAACTGGTCACGTAACGTTATAAATCATAAAGTATATGATACACAGTCAGGTCTACAGTGTCAGCAGCACACAGCAGTAAACACATACTGTATGTCCCTGATTTACTGTGCACACTGGGGCAGAGGTCTCAACTAATGGAATATTTAATGTATCCATGACCGACACTTTAATCTGCGGTGAGACCTCCAGCTTGCAACTTTATCATATAAATCTGAGATACACTGTACAGCCCATCTGTGAGTTACAGCATTTAGACCCTCTGTGTATACACATAGACATGATCAAGCTTAAAAAAGATGTTCATAAACTGCTTTAAAATTGGTATCCTAA